TCTTGGCACTGGAGCTGACGCGCACTGGACTACAGACAACATAGAAGACCGGCAGAAAGTGGTTTGGAAATCGATGTGTGGTCTACGATTTTAGATTTTGGATATATCCCGTTACTAAAGATAGATGAATTGATCGAGAGGGTCGGGCCACAGGTCTGACGATAGAAGATCGCCAAACAAGCGGCCCCTTGGAATCAGCAACGCTAAGTATGGGAAGTTTACGGAGTGGGCTACATGGCAAATGATAACATCAGCATTAAGATCCCAGCTTCTGACACGTATTGAACGGTTGAATAGTGTGTGAATTATAAGCTATCGACAAGGATGCAAGGATATAATGCAACTCGAGACTTTTAGCATATAGAGCTCAAGCCACTGTCTAGGACAAGCTGAGTCTCGCGACTCGTGAATAATCAGCTGAACACATTACTCCACTCTGTTCAGGCTTAGCCCCTAAATCTGGCATATATAATAATGAACTATCTTATCCGAAAGTAATGACTTTCAATCCTTATGTTAGACATCTTCTTGCTCTAATCTGTTTTTTCAACAAATTCCTGTAGCAACTCTCAATCCCTATCCTATAGTAACCAACTATAGCAGCTGCTCTGTATAACACATTACCGACTCTCGAAGACGCAGAAAAACGCTTTATTAACCGTGAAAATATCTTCACTACTATCGGAAGCCTCCTTGCTTAATACGGCAATCTTTACGGCCTCTGCCTCGTCTACGCACACTGCACCTTAACTGACGAGGAGAAAATGGTCAGCAGAGGAAACATATCCCAGTCGGAAATTTTCGCTTTGCTCGGTAATTACTACCCTGAACGCTGGCTGTCTATAAGGGTTCCTTACGAATTCACCACTCGGCCTACCGGATTACCGCCGGCTGCTCTTATTAACGAATTTTACCGGCTTACGGCTAAAATTGGGGTTCTAGGCCTATATCACATCGGTGATTAAGTCGACACTAAGATGATTAAGCGCACCGAAGGACGTAAGAATATCATTACGCCCTTTCTTAGTATAGACGGATCCAGAACAGCCAGTCACACAGAGATAGTATGGAACTTAGGCAAGGACGATTCTGTCACTATGTCCTGTATAATTATTTATGACTCACGAACCACTAGGAACGGAGTGGCGTAGTAGAAGGGTATATATAGAAGTCTCCGCTTTAAGTTCGCAAGCTTACCACGAGATCAATAAAGGCACGAAATCCCATTATAAATAGAAAGTGACACGCCTTGGGAACCTTTTATCGGGCAAAGTAGGCGGTTAGTCTAGAAAAACCAGTGCTTATTAGCAACCTGGAATAAATATTAGTTATTTGGGTCTTCTGATGTTTGTATAAGACACTATATGTAGTAGCCATTATTTCATTGACTATTACGGCTTGTCATTTCCTATATAAGTACTACTACTGTTTTGGTTGTTTTGTTAAATTAATTTGAAGAAAAATCTGTCGTTTTATACCTAGAAATACAGCTGCCACATTCTCGCCGACCGGTTATTTTTACAAATTGTTATTCCGCATATGTTTAATTCTAGCCTTTCAAATTCATTATATTTCCAAGTAACTACCTTGATCTTCTTAACAATAGCGTAAATCTCATCTAAACTGGGGACAACCGCAGCCAGAGGAGGGGGGACAGGCCATTCCACCACATGCGTAAACGCAGCGTTTCCATATACCATGCTCTCTATTAGATGGCCGAGATCATAGAGTCCAAATTATCAGTCTAGCCAGAGTCTGACACAGGCACGCGAGACACTTCAGGCGCTAGACGATTTCCCTAACGACTCTCCAGATCACAAATAAGCGCTCGAGACATATCAGAGGAGAAGACAATATTGTCGATATAGAGATCACGATAGATAATTCTAGGGGAATAAAGCAGCTTTAGTCCGGAGATAATCTACAGTATCCAGCATTTGTAGGTAGTAAGGGGATAAAATTATACTAAGAAGTAACAGGTTCTGAGTTTGTTAAAGACAAGCTCCCTACCTAGCGACTTTCTTTGCAACTGAATGATATGCGGTGATTTTGGAACACCTGGGCGAGATCCGCCTTAGCATTACAGCAGATTCCGAATCTCGCTTTTATATTTGTCTTTTTTAACAAATGCTTACTAGGATCGACTTTAATAGAAGCAAGGCAAGGATTATATCGAGATCTTCGCTATTATCTTCTAGCTCTAGAAGAGGTGGCACGTCGTAAAGGGGAAGAATTTGGTCCCCGATGATTTCGTAATCGCCGCTATCTACTAAGGTAGGCAGGTTTCGGCGTAGGCCGAGGATATTGTTACGAGCCAAGTCTTGATGAAAAAGAGTGCATTCAACTAGAATTCTAAACATGGGGAAGGAAGAAGGAGAGAGAAAGGGAAGAGAGAAGATACACCATATGGGTGCAAAAACTATCACATGACCACTCCCCCATCCGATCTCCAGATCGTAACAGATATCACCAGAGAGAGTTCCAGGTATACAAGCCAGCCGGATACGCTGGTGCGTATACTAGTATATGTAGTAGAAAATTTCATTAATTGTTTCTACGTTAAGATCTATTATCTGTCGGCCACCCGCAGAACCCAGGTTCGACCGCTCTCTTTTCTCCTCGTAATCAGCTCTTAGATGCTGAACTTCCTGAGTAAAAGGGCTATTGGGTAATTAGCTTATTGTTGCTGATATAAGGGGCTTCGAAGTACTCTCGAGATATTCTTTGCTCGACAGAAATTGATAGCGGCGGTGAAAAATACAAAGAGGACATCCTAAGGTTGGCGGCACCTAGCTCTAGATTTTATATTCTAAGAGAAAATACGCAAGGTATTACTAGGGCACCGAGGTTCGCATTTATACAGCTGCCTAATGCCTAATACATAGTACATAATACCTGACTTTCTATATGTGTATTTCTTTGGTCATGCTAACATAGTTTTTGATACTGCACGACCCGGATTATTGATGGAGCGGGCTCGATCCCAAACGAAAAGTGCGACTTCTAGCGTCCTGCGCTATCGATAGGGGTATCTCGAAAAGTGCGACTTTTAGCGCCGGACATCCACCGACATTCATCTGATCCGAAGGAATGTTACTTGACAGATGTTAGGTTTACCACGCAGACCATTTTGCTCGGCCCCTACGAGCTGGAACTACTATGTCAATTGCGAGCTGAGGAAAAGTGAGTATGTGCAAATAGTATTGTGAACAGTCTCTTTCAGCAACTCAAAAATGGTTATGTAAGTTTTCTGTCGGCCCGATGAGGGGCGCTCGTGAGTAGAGCGGGGGAAGAGTGATGGGGTCAATATATCATAACATATAAGTAACCTTTCCTGCACCTTACTGGAAATCTCATAAAACCGGTTTTACTTCTTAACAATGGAAGCCACACCCTTAGCTTTTTTACATGCGATAGAGACGCCGAAGCATTTTCCATGACTTTTAGTACGGGGTCGTTGCTGTTGAATCTTGATATCTTGCTTCTTGGAGTAGTGTGATGCTATAACACGGGAAAGTCGACATGCGACCATTGCGACATGCAAATTGCACAGATCAAATCATCTCCGCTGGAACCGATATCCCAAACTGGTCGCCATAACATACATCCCATGGATATCGATATGTCCAGATTGACTGATGGGAAGATCAAGACCCGCCATTGCTAGCCTGCCTGACAAAATTGGTAATGCACACTGATATAGCTCTTACGGGCCGTTTTACATGCTCTCACCCGATGGTCAACAAACTCCATGAAAATGTATCGTGGAGCATGCGAGGCAACTTCCTTTATATTCCCACCGATTGTCCACAGCGCGATGAAATAATTGGGTAGACCGATGGCATTCAAATGGTCTGTTCCTCTGCCAACTTTCCTTATAACACTGCTGGCATGCTGGGCGATTGACTCAAAGATGTAGCCGCGGAGCAGCTTTTCGATGGCGATGGCTATATTCCCTCATTTGTGGTCCATAATGTCATCAGTGAAAAGCTATGGCCTCTTTTTCCAAAAGTAATCTGGGATGACGTGGTTGTGTTGATGCCATGGGACCTCTACCGTTCCTATGGCGATGTTGATATTCTTCGGCGACAATTTTCAAGAATGCTGGCATGGATCGACCGCGGCATTCGCAGAGGTTCAGACGGACTATGCGATTCAACTCCTTGGCAGCTTGGCGATTGGCTAGACCCCACCACTCCTCCAATCGAGCCGGATGATTCCAGGACAAATGAAACGCTAGTCCCAGACACCTTTCTTGTCAATCTCACCTCTACAATGGTGCAAATCTGCCAAGTCTTCGGAAAGGTAGAAGACGCAGCTAGATTCCAGCGTGATGTACAGCGTCTAAAGACGAAATTCCAAGAAAAATACATCGCTCCATCTGGTCTTTTAGTCAGATACACACAAACCGCCCTCTGGCTTGCAATCATATTTGACCTACATGCAACACCTGAACAATCGAAGACAGCAAGTCCCGACTTGTTGATCCCGTCCGACTCACTAAATTCTAAGTGGCCACTGGGTTTGTCGGCACTCTCATTATCACACACGCACTTAAAAAAGCTGGTTACCACCAGGTTGCGTACTGAACGCTTTTTGAAAAGAACCGGCCATCTTGGATGTACTTGATCAGTATGGGTGCGACGACAGTTTGGGAGAGATGGCATGGTACAATTCCTGGTGGAACGATCAACCCCGGCGAAATGATCAGCATCAACTATTACTCTCTGGTCTAGATCATTGACTGGCTTCACTGGAAAGTTGGGGGCGTGAGACCCATCACGACGGGATGGAAGGAGATCTGTATCGAGCCGAATCCAGGCGGCATGATTGAGTCTGCAAAGGTTGCGTATGACACGCCATACTTTGATATAGTGATTAAAACTCTCCGAGGAGAATTTATACGTGCTAAGTAATATGGGGTCTCTATTACTACACTAAAAGAGAATAAATAACATTGACTAGTATGTCCACTATCAGCAGCAGAAGTTCACTATGTCTTAGCAGCCACCTCCACCACCCCCAGAGTCACTTCCACCCCCAGAATCTCCACTTCTACCCCCTGAGTCGCCGCCATTACTTCCCCCAGAATAGCCCCCGCCACTAGAGTCACTGCTGCTGCCACCACCGGAGTACCCACCGGAGTACCCACCGGAGTAACCGCCACCCCCGCCCCCACAATGTGAGTGGCTACTGTTCCCAGAACCAGAATCATGATGTGTACTGTTGCCAGCGCTGGAATCGCAGTTGCCGGTACTGGTCAACCAGGGGCTAGTACCGGTCCCGATCCCCATGTAGAAGGTGTCGTTACATACTGTAGTGGGTGGTGTGTCCTTGGCTGAGGTAGACCATGGAATGCAAAATGGCTCGGATACTGCGACAGCTGCTTGCTGGACCTTTCGTTCTTGTTTTTGTCGCTTCACCACTTCCACCGCTTTCTGCTTCCTTCTCCTGGCTTCTTTGGATCGAAATAGATTCAGAAACATATTCGGTGTGGAATTTGAATCAATTGTCTATCGAGCTATTAGGTATATGAGACGACATGTATACCGCTGAAGACTGACTTGAATACTATGTATGGCCTCAAGAGGGTTAGATGCAGGTACATCATCCGGAGACGTCTGTCAAAGATACTGATGTGCCCAGATTGATTAGTTCATATCCAACACAACTCCAATAACAAGACTCACAATAGTGGATTTGTATAAATATGAATGCAACATGAAGCCATGAAACTAATAGATTATATACAGAAAGTGTTTCTATCACGTTCCAAGAGAAAAACACCCTGGATAGAGCCTCGGGCAACCGGGCACCACAGCCTCCGGCTATGCATTCCAAGGCTGTCCCCACTTTATCGCATGCATAACAACTTGATTGGTCTCTGCCCGCCCAAAGCCCCATCGTCAACGGCTATCGTGCTGATCTTATTTGAATTTGTCATAGCGCCTGACTTATGCTCGCGTTATCACACCCTTTTCGATCGCTTCGGGTAAATATTGTATACCTAGTTAGCCTGGGCAAAATCATGACGCAGATACCGAAGCCTTCATAATTTAGATGATGAACTCAGAATCTACACGACCAACTTGGTGGATAAGCTGGAGCAGGTTCGCTAAGTCCCTATCTCAACCCCTTCTCCGCTCTGTGCACGCCAACATAATGGCTGACGAAATTGCTGTAAGATAGTAAAGGTCGGAATTCCAACAATGAAACGGTGATGGATAACATCGCGGCGAGCGCTCTGGTCGAAATCTTGGGGTTGGAAGTCTTCACTCGCGCCGAGGCTAGACCTCGCCAAAAACAATTTGAGGGCGAGCATCGTCCGCCCGCCGCCCGACCCGCAAGGGCAGAGGGCAGGTAAGAAACCGCCCTGGTAGAAGGATGTCGCTGTTGCTTGCCAGCCACTCATTTGACTTGAGGTTGTCGCTGCTCTTCCTCGAGTCGTATCTTCTCGGCAGATTTGACAACGTAGCATTCCCATAAGAAAAAGTACCAATCTAGCAGTTGGAGGGCTGGTGTTGCCGGGGTGTGGTTGTGGTGTACAAGCTTCGTGAACTCCGCCGCAAGGGAACCGGGTGTGTGCACTGGAACCTATGCAGTGTTAGTGATCTTGTACGTTTGCTATCGAAGAGGGTATGACCGATCTCGGGTTCGATGATTGTGCCGTTTGAATATTGCTGTGGATGTTTTTGCAACTTGTTCTCAACTTCAGGGTCGTGGGAAACCCGGCACTGTCTCTGAGCCGGCCGGTCACTTGGGAAAGACGAAGTGGGATGGTCTATCGTTGCTATTGGAATGAAATGGAGACAATGTACTCGAGGCTCTTTTATAGAACGGCAGTCACATTGAGGGTGCTGTCATTGCCACCCATGACCGTCCTGACCTGAGTTCGACCGCCTTTAAAAGAGTGACCGAATGGTTACCTCAACTGTTGACACTTGATCTCACCTGCTGACCAACCCGAATTACTAACTCCAAGGCGAGAATGGGCAGCAGACGAAGCCTTGAAACAAAGACTTACAGAAACTATCCTCTAATGCTGTTCAGCAGATGTACTTCTAATGCATTGGATGCTATGCATTAAGTAGGAATCGTGGGAATTTGACCGTGACATTATTGTGGCTGCTCGGAGAGGGATATGCACGGAATTGATAAGGAGTATTGATTTCGGGCACAGCCAACCCTGCATATCATGGGAGCTACCTGAAAGCATGCTGTCACTTCTTAGAGTCCACCAATCCTTCCCCTCGGCGACGGTGCCAAAGAGGGCTGATGAGAGTTGTGGTCTTCTCTCATCCTCTGAATGGCCCTCTGGATGCAGCGATTCCGTGCGGAATATAGCGATCCCTTCAAATTGCCCACATTCCGTCTACCATACACCACGAACCCGCTGGCGATGGGGAAATCTCCACCCTTGGCTACCAATATCAAAAAAATCCTCGAGCCACCGGTTTCTGAAATTGAGATCAATATGGTCATGGCGAAGCAGAACCTGGGCCACCTCCAAATTAGTATCATGTGTGACGGTGTATTGCACCGCGGCGCGACTTGCAATCATATTTTTATTGATTCCTAGGTGTTCAGCTTGCTGTACTGAGAGTCTGAGTTGCATGGAAGAACTGGCGATGAGTGCAGCAATGGCAAAGGCAGTCAGCATAAAAAGGAATGCAAGAAACTTCGTTCTGGGTGTTTGAAGGTGTAGGTTGTGCATAATGTGGTTTGTTCTCGGAATTTTGAGAGTGAAATGGAGAATGAGCTGTGAAGTGGAGAGTCCCTTGGCTTCAAAGTTTCGAGTGCTGGCCAAGCGCACGGAGCAATATTTAAGTGCAGAGATTGAAAAGGCTCTGGGAGCTAATAACCTGACTCTAGAAACCCAAAAAGCATTACCGGAACCGGCTAACCCTTGGGAACTACTCTTTGGCTCCTGGAGCCACCTCATATTCCTAGGACACTGAGACCTACCCCTGAGATCTTCACTCTACGTTCCCAAACGAATACGAAATTGGGGTTGGAAATATATGGGCTGGATATGGGGCTATTGCACTCCTGGGGCCCTATTTCTGAATCCTAGAATCAATCTTCTGCCTTCTAGTGTGGCGTATCAACTTATCAACTCACAAAACACCTTCACCGGACTTACGCAAAAATCTGAGCCATTTTATTACACCCAGACGCCTAGCCTATAGTTTTAGGAACCGCACTCAAGGTTCCAGAAATTAACAAGCTATTGACAGGAATATGATGTTGATCCCCCGAGGTAGAGGGATAACGTCCCAGAAGCTACGTCGGGTTCCCTGGGGGCTAAACGGCTCCTCCATGCGGCTTGAATACTCCCAGAAACCGAACTGGAGCCTCCCAGAGCAAGAGAGCTCCCAGGGCAAAGATGTTATGTTTTTATGGCTGATAGAATCATAACCAGGAGCGTGACGATTTCCGGAGAGTCGAGATGAAAGGTCCTATAAGATTTCTTGTGGCTGTCATTTCTGGATGGATCACGGGTTTCCAGAATCAGCTTCTTTAAGTATTCATGAATACTAATTTGGTCGACGCTGCGCAGAAAAGGTCGCTGATTATTACATATCTTTTATATCGAGCCACTCCGAGAATGAGCATCAAGGTGAGAATATTGCTCCGAGATCGACCAACATCAGCGGGCTAGTCACATGTCAGAGCATGAAGCAGTAAATTACCGCTAACTGCTGATTGGTCACATAGGAAATCGACTTGCTTTATGTTTTGTATGTAACTTGGCGTTATTTTTCAGCTCTGGTGCTGTGACCACCGAGTATCGACGTGTTAAACGCATAGACCCTGAGGGTATTTCAACATGCCCTCGATCACATAGTCTCTTCTTCGATCAATCAATCTTTTCATCCTGAATTGGTTCCGCTTGATCTCATTCGCCCCGAATGCATACTAGCCTATACACTTTTAGCTTGTTCTGACAGAATGTCTCAGTAGGAGCAAATGTGCGTATTTGCGTAATTTATGGGAATGGGGCTCTAGAATCCGAAATTTCTATTGCATTATACAATATAGACACATTATTTTGAATTAGAAAACCGGAGAGGCAAATATTTATTGTGCTTCCTACGTGTTGGGCCTGTATGGAGCCAAGTCTACTGGCAGAACTTCGGAGCAGGTTAAGCCACCCAAATTGCCTTGTTCGATGCCCAGAATAGGACTATTGCACCACTCATGCTCAATTATGTCTTGGCATCCTCTTGGACAGCTTTGGTTATTGTTGACCCAGAAGTCGAAAATTTGGCGTTAAGTACAAATATCCGAATGCCTTAGCAGTTGTCCAGAACAAGCGAATGCAGTCTCACCGAAAGACTAATTCAGACTAAGGTGGATGATATTCTCCACACTCTGGGATATGCAGGAACCGGCCGACTCGGCGCGTATACGGAGTACGAAGTACATGCCTACATACAACTTTGGAATGTAGAGATATGGCGGGGTTGAGTTCAAAGTTTCTCCACATTGGGGAATATGTCAACCAACCGACACCCGGCTATGTACATTGTAGACTGGAATTTACGCAGTTCCGGGATGTGGAGATGCCGATTAGGTTGAAATCCTAAGAGGCCCGTGGACGAAAGCCTGGGTAAGTCTCAATTAATTCCAAGGTTCTTCAAATGGTTCTTACAAATCCTAGCCAATAACCGTAGCATCTGCGGAGACCCCAGATCAGTCATCCGCGGAGATTCACGAAGTTGCTGTGTTTTGACTGGTCCGGGGTGGCGTCATGGGCCGGGGGCGGGAAATTTGTGGGGATTTGACGTGAATTTCCAAGGTTAACAGAGAATTTTAATTCGCTGGTGCTTAATTTAGCTTCCGACTTTGTCCGAATTGGTAATGTGGCTGATACCGTAAGCCATCGTAAGCCACATGTCAAACAACAGGTACGACGTAGGCTCGAAGAACGATGAGAAGCCCTAGACAATATACCTTGACCTAGGTGCATGGACATATTAGGCACCTCAATATCACCAATAACACTGAGAAAAGTCAGTCAATCTTCCGTCAGGGTCTCTAACATCTGCCGACACTATCATCATTTGCGAGAACTAAAAAAGTGTCGCCAAGACGGAGTCTCCGGATGGGCTCTTGGCACTTCGGTACTCCAGTGATGGAAAGGTCTAATCGCATGCCCCAAACTAGGTGCCCGGCAAAATCTTCAAGGACATAAAACCAGCATATCCGAAAGTGGCGGCCCGGATCACCAATATGGAAACGAGTTTAAGAGCTAGGTTGTTAGCCGTTTGCTGCTTGAGCCAACGCAGTGTGCCTGTACGGAGTACCTAGCCGGTAAGGAGTATAGAGTATTCTACCGAAGCATTTAGCGTGGCCGTCGGAGATTTCGATAGCAAAAGTCTTTTCTGGTAGACTCCATACGGAGTCACGCCACGGTAAGGCTAGTGGCCCTGTATTCTATCTGTTATTTCCCCATCCTCTAACTACATGTACATATGCAGCTAGTGACATGAGTGTCTGGGGTCTTAGGGTCCTGGGGTCCGGGATTCCTATAAAATTCCTTGCCCTCGCCCGTCCACGAGCTTTCCCTGTGTGTCTGTCCGTGCCTTGGCTCTCTTTACACTGCAATCATGTCCGAACGTGGCGCTTCTGCTGTTGAGCCATCCTTTGATGCCAGCCGTATCGAGGCACCGGTTACTTGGAAGGCCTACCTGATTTGTGCCTTTGCCTCGTTCGGTGGTATCTTCTTCGGCTATGACTCTAGTTACATCAACGGCGTTAGCGGTTCGAGCATGTTCATTCAGATGGTGGAAGGCCCTGAAGCTACTGCTCTTACTAGTTCGAAATCTTCTCTCGTCGTGTCCATTTTGTCTGCTGGTACTTTCTTTGGCGCCCTGATTGGCGGTGATATGGCCGAGTGGATTGGCCGAAAGTGGACTGTCATTTTCGGCTGTATGATCTATATGGTTGGTGTGGTCATTCAGATGTGTACTGGCCTCGGCGACGATGCTCTAGGCTTGATCGTTGCCGGTCGTTTGGTTGCCGGATTCGGCGTCGGATTCGAGTCTGCCATTGTCATTCTCTACATGAGTGAAATTGTAAGTTCCAAATCGTTTCCGGCTCTCGGTAGAGATCAATCTGACCTGTGACCCCTCCTTGTTTTAGTGCCCCAAGAAAATCCGTGGAGCCCTCGTCGCTGGATACCAGTTCTGCATTACCATTGGTATGTTGACTGCGTCCTGTGTAGTCTACGCCACCGAGAACCGGTCGGACACTGGAGCCTACCGTATCCCTATCGCCATCCAGTTTGCTTGGGCTCTGGTCCTATCCATCGGCCTATTTTTCCTTCCTGAATCGCCACGTTACTATGTGAAAAAGGGTCGCATTGAAGATGCGGCCAATTCCCTCGCCCGGCTTCGTGGCCAGCCTCGCGACTCGGCGTTCATCGATGCCGAACTGACGGAGATTGTGGCCAACGAGCAATACGAGCGCGCGATCATCCCTACCAGTGGCTGGGTCTCTAGCTGGTACAGCTGCTTCACAGGTGGCCTTTGGGATCAGAAGTCGAACTTGCGCCGCACCATTCTGGGTACCTCTCTACAGATGATGCAACAGTGGTAAGTTCTGTGGAGGCCTGATCAATGTGATGACTCGATATCTGACTTTCTCCAGGACCGGTGTCAACTTTATCTTCTACTACTCCACCCCGTTCTTGCAGTCGACTGGTGCGATCGACAACGTCTTCCTCATCTCACTGATTTTCACCCTAATTAATGTCGGGTCCACTCCCATCTCCTTCTACACCGTTGAGAGATTCGGCCGTCGCACAATTCTTATCTACGGTGCGTTCGGTATGATGGTCTGTCAGTTCCTCGTCGGCATCATCGGTGTCACCGTCGGCTTTAACAACACCCACCCTCTCCCTGATGGCACATCTGTGGCAGACAACATTCCTGCCGTCAATGCCCAGATTGCGTTCATCGCCATCTTCATCTCCTTCTTTGCCTCCACCTGGGGTCCTGGAGCCTGGATCGTCATTGGCGAAATCTTCCCTCTCCCAATCCGTGCCCGTGGTGTTGCATTGTCGACTGCTTCGAACTGGCTCTGGAATACCGTACGTTTCCGCTCTCCTTCACCAGTTCTAGTGCCTTGGATTGTTATTCTAACCTTTCTCGCGTATAGATCATTGCCGTCATCACCCCCTATATGGTTAACAAAGATCAAGGCGACCTTAAATCGTCCGTCTTCTTCATCTGGGGCAGCCTTTGCACTGTGGCGTTCATCTATTCTTACTTCATCATTCCGGAGACCAAGGGCCTGTCCCTGGAACAGGTTGACAAGATGATGGAGGAAACGACCCCACGTACCTCGGCCAAGTGGAAACCCACTGTCACTTTCGCCGAGACCATGGGTACTGGCGAGAAGGGCTTGGTCGTCCACGAGGAGGGTGTTTAGAATGATGTCTGGCCCGGTCCTTGGAAGTGAATTGAGCTTGCTACGTAGACCTAGTCTCTCGTTAGTCCAATCCTCCACTTCGTCGGAGGCTGTTGTCAAGAATGAGAGGAGAAATTCCGAGTTGTCCCACCTTGTTCAACACCCACATATGCCATGCTTGATCTGTTTAGGTCAATAGGATAAACCCAGCCGAAGGATACATCTGTATCAACACGGATTTGGCCATCGGAGACTCGTTCAACCGATCTTCAACCAATGCTCGCGATATACAGACTGTATTCTATCACATGGATCTAGATCTCGAACAACACATAATACATAATACATCCATGTACCGTGTATTGTTCGGGTAGTGGGCCTGACACCACAGCCGGTTAACTTTTCCATTCCCGGTGATACATACCCCGAGAACCCCGAAAGGCCGTTTGTTGTCGTTATTAAATTGGGCCGCCGCACCCGTACACCCGCAAGCATGGTGAGGAATCCCCCACGGTGAAAACCCCCAATTTTTCTAGGAATGTCTGTTGTGATATGAGGCTGGTGCAGATCAGGAACCAAGCCGCACCGTCGGAGTTAGCTCCGAAGTGTTTGTACAGACGACCAAGTTGATTGGAAATCAACTTGGCTAATTGTTGTATATATAGGCTCATGTATCCCTCTAAAATAAAAATTCAATTCATACCTCTGAACAACAACAGTAAAACGCATTGTTGGTTTCAGTAGCTTTCCTTGCATATGAATTTCCAGCCAATGAAGAACTGGGTCCATATCAGACTAACATTCCATTAACTGCATCAGCCTCGTAGACACACGCCTGGCCGTCAATCAAACATGAAAATTGGCCTAATGGGTGCCCTCTCTCGTGACACATCGTCAGTTCCCATCGCAGTATCGAGTTGATTTCAGGTTTCTGCTAAATCTATCGTTTGGTGGTAGCATTGGGGATTCTTGCCCCCTAGTCGTGTCTGTCATGGTGTGACACTTCACGAATAGGTTACTAGTAAGGAATGCCTTTATAATTTCATGGAGATCATACAAGGGGCAATAGAATATGAAGATATGGATGTTGTAATGCGGACGGAGGAGAGAAGGAGAGAGAGAGAGAGAGAGAGAGAGAGAGAGAGAGAGAGAGAACGAGAGATATGTATCTATCTACTCCATGGGAGACTATCTCAATGTGGGATGTCACCTGACATCCCCAACATAGTTGCACCGGTATCGAGGGCACAATGATCAATGACACTTGTCAATCGAAAGTGATATCCAGCCAGAAGTAGCGGCGTAAACCATATATATGCGGACGTGAATTTTAGAATTTTGAGAACGCCGCATTTTCCTAGGTCAACCTACGGAGCGTCGTAGAAGCAGGCGACACTCACAAATAAGTTTTTTGAATAATAAAACTGAGCTATGTCTACAAGGCAAAAATGAACCAAAACATAACCCCTCAATAACCACTTTCCACAAACATGAATATATCATCCGAATGGCCTGCTTACGAGTAATCGAACTATGTATTTAACTTTCTGATCAAGCTAGTATTAATAGAGTTGTTCGTGGTTGAAGCTAACGTCCTAAATAGGAACTAACGTGATATAGTCTAACCCGAATAGGAATTACTGTAATATATCTTTTATTTCGCTTATTCTTATATAAATGAGCTTAAAGTTTACCTCAACGTGTTGAGTCGAGCAGTTAGTCCTGAGTTAAGCTTCGCTAACTAGAAAAATGTTAATGACCCAATATAGCTTAGCAGTAATTGTGACTAAGCACTCACCTCCACCCCTCCAGGGTGTAGGTGAGCCCACACCTGTTAACAAACCCACACCTATTAACAAAAAAACCATTATTTCAATCTCAACCCTATTTTTCAGCCACCATCCCATCTGGATCTATATATTTAAATAGCTCACTATTAGCTTCAAGATAATCTCTACCCCCTGATGCTTCTTCTTTTTCTTTAAGAGCCTGATTGGCGCGGTGCCAATAGTCTCGAATTCTTGCATTTCCAGCCTCACGCCGAATATCCAGCTTAGATTCCTTCGTACAACGCTGATGAACCTTCGAATTGCCTGCAATTGACGATAAAGGACTCTTAGAAGCACCCTTTACAATGCGCTTTGTCTTTTTGATAGGAATCTTGTGGCTTTGCATCCTTTTTATCGTCTGTTTTGCAAGGGCTAGGTCTTGAACAGCCTGCTTGCCGCCATGAATTGCACGGTTTATATGTTTTTGAAGCTTCGGAAGGTCCAATTCATCGTCTTCGAATATAGTTTGAATCTTATCTTCAACTTTAGAGAATCTTTGATCTGAGTTAGGCGGCGAATTCGTTGCTGAACTAGGAAATTCACGGTTTGGTGATAGCGTATGACCATATATTTCAAGGACTGGTTCATCTTCCCAGCCTGGATCAATTTGATCGCACACAATATGCAAATCATAAGGCCAAAGACCGGTTTCTTTAAATGATGATTTAATCGTTTGCGATTTAAATGTGTCTTTACGGACTGTTTTGATGATTTGAAGAAAATGCCGTTTATCATCAACATCTCCACCCCATCGTACAATCTCATTATTCTTTCTTCGGAATTTTTGTTTAAGAACTGAGAATGGCTTGCCATCGAGAGGCTGGCATCGATGTGTCATTTTTGGTATAAACCACCAAGGTATGATATTAAAGCTTTGGCAGATATGCTCAAATTCCGGGGTTCTATAGGATCTATGGTTATCCATAACCAAAACCCTAGGTCTGCCTTTAGCAACTCGCTTTTTAGTGGCATAATGGAAATCTAACAGCCATTGAATCGCAGTTGTATCGTCGGTCCAGCCTTTAGCAGTTGGTTTAATAACCCTATAGTTGGTAGGATCATCATCGCCGTCAAAACAGTCTTCCATTTGTTCAGAACCACGCATTAAAAACCATGGATGCATAACCTAGCCATCGGCCGAAATACACTCAATTCCAGTAACATTCTGGCCTATTCCACCAGTCGCAATAGTCTCATATTTGCGGGTAGAAGCGACGTTTTCCTTCGTTCCAATACCTAGCTAAAAGCCAGTCTCATCCCAATTATATAGTTCGTTGGCCTGAATTTTGTTCTTTTTAAGGAATTGGCCATAGACCTTATACCAATAAACTAATTCACCGTGTAATTCAGCTTCAATCCTCGCTTTTTCCATCGGCTTTTGTGTACGAAGGTCGATATGGGGTGGTAGGCGTCGAATGAATTGATACCCATACATTTTGCCAACCTGCCGGTCGGAACCACAATGTCGTAAAATACGATTTGCAGCACCCTCAATATCACTAGCATTTGGTGGTGTATATACTGAGTTAAGGTGCTCAATCCAGCGAATAAGAGAGGCTTCTTGTGAGGAATTTAGGGCTTTTTTAGTGGCTGCACGGCCTTTTCCATTTGTCCTGCCTTCCTTTCGGTACCGAAGCTTCCACTTCGAGACGCCAAAATGAGAGGCTGCGGCCTATATACTGGTAAATTGACCTGATTTATAGGCTTCGAGGGCATTTGAGAGAAGGATCTCTTCTTTTTCGGAGGAAATCGGCATAGTTTTGGTGGTGAAAAATAGGTTTGAAATAGAAATAATGATATTTTTGTTAATAGGTGTGGGTTTGTTAACAGGTGTGGGCTCACCTACACCCTGGAGGGGTGGAGGTGAGTGCTTAGTCACAATTATAGGTGTAATTTACTTGCTGAATAATGAACAAACACGACAAACAAGTGGGCCTGCTTTCTCAGGCTTTCCGACACAGTATGTTGGCCTAGCCTTAATTGAATCAATTTAGCTACAGCCCTTCACATTCATCGCCTAACAGCGAACTCTGCCAGAGTTCACCACCCCCCGTGGGATAGGGCTATGCATACTCCGGAGTGAACGGGGGGTATTTCACGTAGTCTATTTTAACTTCCTAAGTTTTGAGAGCGATCGGAGGCCTCTAGACCTCTGTAGTCAGGCGACAAAGTAAACCTACAGTCAGGGTATCGACCCACATTTCCTCCCATAGTAAAGGAAAAACCCTAAACTGCAGTCTGCCAGACTGCAGCTACCCCCGTGGGATAGGGTAGATTCACTTTTTCTCCTATATTAAAAAATAGAGTTTCACTTACAGTCTGGCAGACTGCAGCTGCCCCCGTAGGATAGAAAATGCACGGACATCAGAGTAAGTGGAGACCAATAAGCCAATAACATCTAATAAAACCCATCCTTCCTTTTGCTGCTAAACGGTGATGATCAATTAAATTAAATCAATTAGACAGATTGAGCATGCAGTATGATTTCCCTCAAACGAATAAAACATTCAACAAGAAGACGTTTCACGTTTGACATGCGCATAAATAAACAAAAGCTTTATGAATCTCACGAGGCCAGATGACTCGGAGGCGGCGGGACCCACTTTCAACATCGATGCTCCCTCTCGAGTCATACCACTCAGATGAGGGGCAGGGGGTGGATTTGTCAGCCGAAATGCCTGATTTGACGGTGTCATGAACAGTCTTAGCATATAGAAGCCCCTCATTTTCGAGCCTACAAGATTGAGATCACGAAAGACATGAGTGACTGATCATGGATAACGCAATCCTGATAGACTCATCTCGTCAGCGGAAGAGAGCGACACCCGCGTGCGAGAAATGCCGTGTCCTCAAGGTGAAATGTATTAGACCCGGAGGGGAACAACCTTGTACTAAGTGCGCGTCACATCCCTGACCGTATACTTCATCTCAGGCTAATTTGAGTAGATGTGCCAGATCAAACTCTCAATGTGTATTTTCAGAGCTAAGACAGCGAGCTCGAGTTACACAACGAGCAAAACCGTAAGTTAGCCTAGAGAGCTCTCCAGTCAACATGTCATTGATACTGATAGGGAGGGGATGAAGGCGACTGGTCGATCTTGAGTCCAAGCTCACCAATATCATCGGTCTTCTTTCGCGCTCGAGCGCTCCCCTTTGTGGAAGCCAACCCCCGGTTGATACCGATTTTGGACCGCCTGCAATTCCCGAATATCCTAGCGACAGGACACACCAAACACCTGAATGGATACGCCAAGAGTCCCTGCCTAATTGTGAAGTGGGCGAAGGCCTAGAGTCGAGCGAAAGCCAGAATACCACTGAAAATACCCTAGAAAATCCGTGGGACTTGTCCACTACCATGGACGCCGCGTGGGTCACCGACTTGGGACTCAGTACTGTCGTCCTCGAGCATCTTCTAGACAGGTTTCGCGGCATGGCGTCCTACTTTCCATTCGTGCGGCTTCCATACTCTTGTACTGCTGCATCAATGGCTGAAGATCGCCCCTTTCTATTGCTTGCAGCGGTTGCTGCTGCTTCCTCGAAATACTGTCATCTTCAAGACGCTCTGATCAGACAATTTAAAGAATCCCTCAGCCAGCGGGTTGTCATGGCTGGCGAGAAGGATCTAGACCTGCTCCAGGGATTACTTGTCCACCTTGCCTGGTAAGATCTCAATTCCCACATTACCTTCTATGTTGTCGGCCTCAGGGGCACTTGCAAGCTGACCAATGTCAGGTTCCATTTCCACTTTGTTCCAGGAAGTCAGCAAGCATACCAGTATTTACAAATCGCAATCAGCATGGTAATTGACCTTCGCCTCGATCAAGAGGCTGCCGACTTGGTTGAGCCGCGAACCGAGCTAAGTGATACTTATATCCGGGAAGCGTGCCGTGCTTATCTAGGCTGCTATTACATGTCTAACATGTAAGATGCCATGCCCTATCTAGATAAGCGCTAATAGGCTTGAGCTGACTTCAATAGAATAGCAATGTCTTCGGGGAAGCCCAACAATCTGCAATTCCATAAGGACATGCTTCGATGTGCTATGATGCTGCAACAACAACCAGAATTTGAGACAGACCTCTTGATATACCCAATGACAGAGGTACTACGGTTCACCGAGGAGGTCTGCGAGACTCACCGGTCAGAAGGCATTCATAGTCCTCGGTTGTACATCCATGCTGAACGATTCACGACGTGGTTAGAAGAATGGTGGTCGACTCTACCGACGGATCTTCGCAACAAGGGTAGGAACATCTCAAGGTTAGAGAGCTTCTCAATTAGCTGACATAAAATTCCTAGTGTTGCTGATAAACGGCTATTATGCCGTCAAGATTCGGATTCAAGAAATGGGCTTGGTATATTGCTACGGGCAGAGAAGACCTCCATCTCCAAAGGCGCAGGAATATTCTACCGTCTTATCTGTACCTCCAATGGTTATCAGCAACTTGATCAAATGCGTCAGCTCTACGAAAGAATATCTCGATTCATTTTTCGCTCTGCCCGCTACGGAGCAAAATGGCTTGCCATTTTCTGTGTGGTGTCAAGTTATTTTGACTGTCTTTGTGCTGTACAGGTTGTCCGTGGGACTGCCAGAAGTACCCCAGTGGAACGTGGAGATTACACAGCAAATTGTGGATCTACAAGAATACATTGATACACTGTTGTCTCATTTACAGGTTATTAAGCCATTGCCGGATAGGCAAATACCAACCAAGAGCCTCTTTTCAAGGCTGCCCGAGATCATGGGAAGTGTAAGAACTTCCTATGCATTGGCAAAAGAGAATCCCGCACAGGTTTTTGATAGCCGCCATGCTCATCACGAGCTTAAGGCTTCGAATAACACAGCCTCATCTGTTCAAGGGCAGCACCGCTGCCCTGCAGTGCGGTATTCGAGCCGTCAAGTCGCCCAGGCTCAGGATCTATCCACACTACAAAGCGCTATTACTACGGAAGTCCAGAGTATAGAAGATGAGAAGCTTTGGGGTGATCTTTTTTTGATGGATACACTTTCTAGCATGACAGGTTCATCATCTTTAGAATTTTGACAAGTGATCCATGCTCCAGACCTCGAATCCGCGAAACTGCAATTTCAGCATAAAAATACCTCAGATCTCGTCGGGAAAGACATGGGTGGAAATCTTGTTTCCAGTCGAATCGTATCGCTGGGGCAGAACACTGTAATGTCCGTCAACATCCCGTGGCTCATAATCAAGCGACAATGCCGCCTGAATAAGAAGGTCTAGCCCATAAGTTTCTTTGATCCAGTGGGCGACCATATCCATCCCCGCCACAGCTCCACTCCCAGTCCAAACGTTGCGGTCAACAATCCACTTCTTCTCCTTTGTCCACTTGACATTCGGATATCTCTTTTTAATCCAATTGTACTCGAGGTTATTGACTGTGGCTCTCCTGCCGTCTAGAGCGCCGGTGGCTGCAACAACCGCAGCTCCGGTGCAGGTCGTAAACAGTAACTTTCCAGAGGCAACATGGCGGCGAATGAGGTCCTGCAATTTCGGAGGCAGCTTGGTTTCCGCAGGGATATCTCCACCGACGATGAGAATATCCAATTCGGGGACATCGTCCACCGCGACCGTAGGCACTACCGTTACAGAGCTTGTAAGCAGGTGCACCGGCTCCATGGTCTCTCCGATATGGTGGAAGACAAATTCGGGCGCCTTTGCAAGAAGCTTCGGATCCACGGGGGCGTAGTAATTGATACCCTCCAGGAGCATTTTACTCGCGGAATTGAGCAGATCGCATGGTCCAATGATGTCGATCGTCTGGTAATCGAAGAGCGGGCAGCCAACGTGGATGGGAGCCATCTTGGTAGGAGTCCTTTTGATAGGAGTATTGAAGGATGTGTATTAAATGATGTTTGTCTGTATGTTGATAGTTAATACTGTTGGCCGTGTTTCCGAGGCTTAAATACTGCCATTTTCCGGATGCCATAATCGCGGAGCGGGCTGTTTCAAGGATCCCGTTCTCCGTGGTCGATATTCTTGGCACGGCAACGTGGTAAATTTATGAACCGTGTCGGTGGTTTCTCGATTTTAAATGCATAGTGGAAGATTCTAGAAATGGTGAGATAATATCCCGTTAAGTACGATTTCGCCTTCGACCTTTCGTATCTAGGGAGGATCTCCGGCCGGCTCCAGCGAGGAGTCATTTGGCGGACGGAGGTATTCAGAGTGTGCAGCACACCTTAGCATATAAATTGGAGCCATCAAACCCTTATTATGCATGGCAGAATGGCGTCGCAGAGCGGGCACATTGAGTTGAATTGGAAAAGGCCCACACGATATGAATAGCATCAGGTCTACCAATGTTCTTCTGATACCGTGCGCTGGTTGTTGCAGTTTCCATCCAAATAGCCACATCCCCAGCAGGCTACTAAAGATTCTGAGACTTTACTCCACATTATGGGAGTTATAAATCACAAGATAGGCCGAAAGTCAGCGCCTCATAAAATAGAATGAAGCACTTCGTGCCGCAACTCTCATTTACATCAAGAAAGAGTCTTCCTAGTTGGTCGGCACGCCAACCAAGAAGCTCTATTAGTCTACTTCAAACAGCTGTCCGGAGCATCCAAGAAGGTATAGCCGAGATAGGTACGGGTTAGGATACATATTCGCCTAAGTCAATGTTTGATAATACATACAGACAGAGCGCCGAATACCCATAATTTGGAGCGAAGTCAAATATTCGGATGCGTTTCAGCGGTAAACTATAATTTTTGAAAATTTGGATATTTAGTGCCTAACTACTTTCGGGTTTTCCAGTAATGAAAATAATATCAATAAAATCATATGTTACTTTTAGACTACACAATCGAATGGATTGATCTATCCTATATTCATGTAGTTTCTCCATCGAGGTACCGTAAAGTACAAGGAACGTAAACACTATCCACGGGGGGTGGTGCAGTCTAGCAGACTGCAGGGTAGGGTTTTTGCTTTACTATGGTAGGAAAAGTGGGTCGCACGCCAGACTGCCGAGGTCTAGAGGCCTCCGATAGGTCTAGAATTTTAGAGATAGTTAACTAGATATATACATTATGTAAGGCTGTATATATTGTGTCATATATGACTGGATTTGCAGGGAAAATCATGTACAGGTTAGATGTTGAAGGAGTGTAAGATAGCATAGTCAAGGCCTTCTTATTATATATTCCGTTTTGAGATATGTATGTCTAGCACTCCAAGACAGCAAATAGGCAGTCTAACCCCTTGGTAGTACCGCAGCATGATCTGGGTGAACAAAACGCCATTCCCGCACAAACACATCGATGTCGCATCGCCCGATATCGCCGCTGTGGTGCTCTTTACACCGCCGCCAACGTTCGCAGTGTCTGTTTACATTCCCCCGGAAGGAGACCTCGACGGAATTCGGACTTTGGAACACGCGCTAGAGGCAATCCGTCATGCCTATCAATGGGTCTGAGACTAATACGGGGAGGAGCTCGACATACTCATCGTGGAGACTTCAACCGCCACTATTAGCTCTGGGAATGAAGCCAGGTAGCAATGCAGGCCCACCAAGGCGAAGGAGAGTCAATTCTACTCCTAGTGGCGGACTGGGGCTTGTCAAGCTTAGTGCCACGGGGGACCATCACCTACGAGCAGGGCCCACAGCGGTCGATCATTGACCTTGTCCTCACATCGAGGGGCTTGGGTAAACGGATGACACAGTGTCGCATTCATCCGGTTGAACATGGGTCAGAGCACCGTGCAATTGAGACGACCTTCCCAAGTGACGCGACACGTACGTGCTCGACGATATAGAGTCTCCCTGGCTGAGCTAGAAGACACCGCATCATACCTGAGGAGACAGTACCACCGCGCGATCCGGGACGCGAAGCGTCGACATTGGCGAGAGTTCCTGAATAACACCGACACCATATGGAAAGCGGCGCAGTATCTTGAGCCTGGGGAATAATACATAGGGCCGTCCCCATTCTGCGCTCGACAAACCGGACGATCAACCATGACCGAGGAAAAAGCCCACGCACTCATTGAGGCTTTCTTCCCTCCGTTGCCCAACATTCCAGATAAGCTGCAAGGGGAAGGCCAGCAACCAGGTGCTCTCCCGATGGGTACGATCGCTCCACATGAAATCGAAGCAGCCCTTATGATGATGGCGTCGTGGAGAGCCCCGGGACCAGATGGACTTCCGGTGGTGGTGTGGCAACAAGTCTGGCCAACCGTGAAACACTGAGTGCCCGCCCTGTGGCTGGTCACCAATATCAACGTCCGCAATGGCTTAGTGGGGATACGCCTAGTTGTCTGCGTCAAACAAGTCGACATTTTCTCGTCCAAAGGGACTGTCGGCAACGACGACGCGCTCAACGCTCACTACGCCCAATTGGGAGCGGTGTTGGAGGCTGCCTCGTACATCGGGACGATGCTCCCTCGTTTCCAGATGTCACTCTGGAAAATACACACCACGATCGTTGTGAGCAACCCTGCTGTCTTGCTGTCGCTCGCGAATCCGCATCTTCAGGGTGGGCAGGCTCTTATAACCCAGATTACCGCGGGGACCAGCGAATTGCCGGACATGGACTCTAAAATCAACCTACGGCCGCTAGTGGAAGAGGTTGAAGAGATTGCGACTCAAGCGCATATCCTTGCACGGGATGCAACGATGGAGAATAAGGAAATTGATCCCCCACCGTGGGCGAAGGTCTAGCTCCGAGCATCGGTGTTGCGATGGACACCTGTTAGTGCTATTAAACACCGGAAAGACGTTTTCCAACGGTTAACCACGGGCAAATTCACACATCAGTTGAATTCAGCACTCCTAGGACCTCACACGAAGATGCTATATGATTTTCTAGACCGAGAGAAAGCATCTCTATTAGCTTAGGAGGGGATAAGCGAAAAGGAATAGGAGAGCATGGAAACCTGACGTAAGGTCATTAAGGCAGTCATTACGTTTATGATGAAACCGAATGATTGGCGAATAAGGGGTGCTGAAATCTGATGCCCGAAGTGCAAATTTGTTTCATGTGGTGAAGTTACCCCGTGTACATATTCAACGGTGCAGTGCACACTAGCTAGAGGGCTATATGTGTGAAGGGCTGTAGCTAAATTGATTCAATTAAGGCTAGGCCAACATGCTGTTTACATTCATCTTGAGGAAAGGAACTATTTGACGCGGGGTTCTCCATAATAACCCCAGGTGTGGGTCACGTGGTAGCACGTGATATCCAGTGGGCTCTGGTGTGATACTTTAAGGATCAGATGGTTTTCATTGGATGCCCGAGGCACCGAGTATATAATAGTAAATTACATAATAATGCCAAGGCATCGCTTAGTGAGAAACCCAGTTTTACTTGTAGCAAGTAGTGCCCAAGGCATCAAAATGCCTTAGGCCCACTTCCGCTCCCAGGTTCTGCTGACACAGCAGAACCTGGAAACCTTAGGGGATCACACTGGCCCGTGACAGTACCCCCCTCCTCTCCCTTTAACAACGATGTAATCTCACAGCGGGGATAACGATGTCTCCGTCGTCGTCGATCCGGTGGCGAGAAGGTCCCGGAACGGAACCGAATCGCTTCTCGTACCTATCCAATGCCGAACAATTCTCTACAACGTCCAATCTCTCCCATGTCGTCTCTGCATAACCAGCCCATCTTACCAACACTTCTATCTGCGTGTTTCGACCAGCGCTTCTCTCGCTAGTCGAGAATCTCTTCCACCTCATATTCCAATTCGCTATCGACTTTAATTGGTGCCGGCTGCGTATCGTCAACGATTTGTGACGAAAACGGGTCCGATGCAGCCGGCCGCACCAATTCAACGTGGAACACTGGATGAACGCCAGTTGGCATATCTAACCGGACTGTATGCGGCGTCGGGTCGCTAGCTTCTCGACCCCCTTTCGCTCCTGCTCGCGGCTCAGAACAGGAGCTACTCGTTTTCCGACTCGCTACCACTAGTTGTTGCGTACTTATTACTACTCGACTCGCTCTCGGCAACTGGTTTCGACTTCACAACACGTGTTTTCCGTTTGGGTTTCGCTACCGATTCGGTAGCGGAACGATCTTCCTTCTTAGCAGAACTAGCTGCTACTCTGTTCGCCTCTAGCCTTTGAGCCGGCAAGTAAGGGCATTCGGCAATACGGCACCCTGTTTTCCCGCAACGGAGGCATCTTCCTTCTCGACGGCGGTCGTGCATTTCATCTTCGCTGACCCACCGTGCCCGTTTCGGCCGCTACTCGGTACCGTTACGTCTGCGATCTTCGAGGGCATCAGTACGGTTAATAGAGGTCGTCGGAGTCCAGTCTATTCTATCGCTATTATTGGAATTAGCGGTGCGACGTGACGACGGCTTATTAATGTTCAATACGTCTATATCCGTGCTAATCTCATATAGTCGGCTAACAAGTCCCGAAAAGGTAGCGGGAATACCACGATTCATAAGCGGACCGCTTATAGTGCTATTTAACGATCCTAGCAAGATCTATCGTTTCGCTTCGTCGGGCCAATCCAGAGCTCTAGCGTCGGCGAACTTCTTCTCTAGCCGTGGTAGGAATTTAGAGAAGGCGGTCCCTTCGGCCTAAGTGATCTGATAGAGCCGACGTGTCAGGACCCAAGTACTAAGCAGGTCTGACGATATATATCTCGCAGTCTCACATAGACTGCGAGATATATATCGTCAGACCTGCTTAGTACTTGGGTCCTGACACCTGTGTTGGCCTGGCCGGCGTTAGAATGGCCTGCCCTGCCCTGGCCTGTGTTGGAATGGCCTGCCCTGCCCTGGCCGGCGTTGGAATGGCCTGCTCTGCCCTGGCCTACGATGGGTGAGGCACCAAGCTCTGCCTGGGCTAGTCTCTATAATGTGGCCCATGCCGCTCGCTGGCGTTTGGAAAACCTGTAGTGGGGGCTAGCCCAATCATGTGGGGCCTGCGTGCGCGTGAAAAACATGAGAATCTGCTGCCATGGGACCGTGTGTCGCTTAACATTATCACCATCCATATATGCTTGTAGTGGTTGATGTGGCAGGCGATCCCGCTCAGTCCGAACAGCCTCGCACCGAATCGTGTGGCTCGTTTTGGTGTAGATCAACTGGCTGATGCGAGCTATAGTGGCCATTGAATTCCAAATTGTATAGGCGGCCTGCTCGGTCTGATCGGGCGCTTCGGGATCGGGGGCACGGACGCAGTCCACGAGGTCCTACGGGTTAATCCCCTGAAGATATACGGCCCACTGGGTCCGGCGAAGCTATGGATTCGCCTCGTCTCGCTGGCCGGCCTCAATCAGCTGGGGTAGCGTATTCCTTTCGGTGTAGGCCCGTTCGATCTGATCTATGAGCCGATCGCTGACCTCGGATGCTGGTGACGGATCGGCCGCGGGGATCGCCTCGGCCCCGAGCGTCTGAACGCGAATGTAATAAGATCCTAGGCCCTGGACAAATGCGCGCTGGTATTGGACGACTCGGGTGGATTGCTGAAAATGCTGCTCGGCGACCGATAGACCTAGCGGTTTCCTACGACCGCTACGGTTTGCCGGTGCGACCCAGTGATGCTGTTCACGCTAGTGCTTGCGCATAGTCGCAGCGGTCCTCGCGATAAAACCATAGAACTGGCCCTTCTCGCATAAGATACCATCCGGATATACCGGTAGATTGGGGATTGGGACCGTGACTACGGTTATAGCTTGCCATTCGTCGCATTGCTCTGCACGGTCCTAACGTTGAATCACGTCGCTGATACGGCGGGCAGTCGGCATAGGAAGCCGATGGTGGGGTGATTAAAGATATCTCAAGACCTCTCGCGGTCTCATGGCATGCTCGCATCGTTTGTAGACGATAACTGGGTCGGTCGACGGCCGGTGAAAAAGTTGATGTTCTATTATTAAAAGTGGAAGTGGATTCGGCTGATAATGATATATGTATAGTAGTGCGTGCGTGAATGTGGTGAATGTTCAACACAAAGTCTACGGTAAAATTGTTTCAAAGTCATTCCGACCGTAACTAGGGATCGGATCCAACCCCCAAATCATCTATCTACTAACTCCCCTGATCCCGGTCGACGGAGATGGTTGAGGTGATACGACGGCCCATCCTCCTCCATTAATTGCGGAAGTGATGCCTGAGGCCGCGGTCGCAACCCCGCCAAGTTCCTTACCCGCACCCTATCAAAACATCTCCGATTTTCAATCGCCAGGTTCTCCACAACTAGTAAGCCGGCGCGGCTAAGATCGAAATGGGAGATAATATCTATGCTCGCTTAGAACTTTGCAAATTTATAGACGGAACGGGGGTGATTTGGACCCTGAACCCTGGGTCGCAAGTTAGACTGAACCCAGGCGGGGCCCACTTCTTTTTCCGCTAATCGCAGACGGGAACCGGAAGCCCTAACAGCGAACTCTGCCAGAGTTCGCCCCCCCCCGTGGGATAGGGAGGTTGTGAGACATTGGTCTAGTTTAACAATCATACTGTAGTCAGGAAAGCCATGAGCCTCCACGGCTACTTCAATAGTCGAGTAAACTTAGGGAGCCTCGAATCATAAGAATAAGCAGTGTATAAGTAGATGCTCTCGGAGATGACAACTATCTAGTTTCATTTATACACTACTCTGCATATGCTATCTAGGCCATGTGTTCCTACTACTCCTTCACAGTGGTGTCGTATCACTGTTGGTTAGGGAAATATAGAACGTGAATTAACTTCTAGAGACTGCGTGGGTTCCACGCTGTGTGAAATGAAACATCATTAATATTTGAAAAGGAATCGTAGCTCGCGCAACAAACAGACGGCCTACAATGTAATATCGAGTAATTTTGCCGCTGGGTCGGCAGCAAACTTCTCGATAATGGCACAGATGTCATTAGACAGGTTCGTAGCCTGTTCTTGACGCAGGACGCGAGAGCTGGCACAGATCTGAACCTCTAATCGATCCGCATGTGGCTCAGTGAATACCCAGACTTCGTCTAACGGATCGAAGCGAGCGAATCTGGAAAACTGGACATCAAGGGGACCGTCATCTTCCTCCTCTCCGTCAACGATAGCTCCCTGTAAGGGAAGGCTGTAACTCAGATCGATATTCTGATGTTGTACAATGAAGCTCAGTGGCGTCTCTGAAGGCCAGTTTGTACTGTGCTGGAAAATCTCGCGGAGCTCGACATGTTCATGGGAGAGGGCCCGAGTATATTGAGTTTGCGCATGATTTAGAAGATCCATGACCGTCCACTCGGCCGGGTCTTCAGGAAAGGTGACTCGTAGAGGGATAAAATTGAGACAGCACCCCAGGAGTGATTCAATGTTATCAAGCGGTAGGTTTCGTCCGTTGACTGTGTGTCCAAAAACTACATCTCGTTGACCGAGATGACGGGAAAGGAAGAAAGCACTTGCTGCTTTCACTAAAGTGGCCATTGTCACCCCCAAAGGCAAGGAGGGAGGTGGGGAGATTCCCTTGAACGTCCAGAGGGTCTGATCAGACTGCGTTGCGGCGGCCGGCTCTGCACAGAGAGTGGGTGGAGGGGGTGCAAATGGAATGACCATCTTGGCGCCGTCGAGATACTCCCGCCAAAACCGGAACGCCGGGTCCTGTTTGATATCCTCTGCTGTGGACGAAACTCGGTGGTATATATATCGAGCAAAGTCGGAGGTGGGCGGCAGCGGGGTTTCATTGTAGATGGCAGCGAAATCGCTGAATAGCCGCGGAATGGAGACACCATCCCATTGGGCATGTGAGATCTGGATCGTGAGGACGACATGCTGCTCCCCCGGACGAGAGGCAAGAGTAAACCTCACCGGCAGAACGCCCCCCATGACGTTCAATGTGGGCCAATCCGTACGATCCCACAGCGATTTACAGACTTCCAAGGGCTCCTGCTCTGGCCCACACTGGATCTCACGTATTTCGACATCGAAGTCTGCCAACACGAGTTGAACCGGACACCCGTCATGTTCCACGAAGCTGGTGCGGAGGATGCTGTATCGCTCCATCAGCCTTTGACACGCGGTGCGAAGCCGATCCATGCTGAGTGAGCGCCCTTTGATCGCCCAGTTGTACGAATGGAATGTTTTTCTCTGGATAAAGAAGTGCTGAGCCTGCGTAACGGGAAGCAAATCTTCCAGCGTGCTTTTCATCGGAACAATGTTCTTTGCACACAAATGTGCATGCAACGCCTTGGCGTCCTCGATGGGACTCAAGGAGAATGGTTGCCACGAATTCTCCTCGGCGGTGTCTTTGGGGACTGCCACTCTTGCCAACTCTGACAGGGTGGGATGGGCAAAGATGTCCGCCACGCCGAAGCTCATGCCTGCAGCCCGACCGAGTGCAGCGGCCCTCATTGCATCGATGGAGTGGCCGCCACGGAAGAAAAAGTTATCGCTTGCGCTAATGGTCTGGATAGGAAGATCCAGAACCGTTGCCCAGATGTTTCTCAGAGCACGCTCGGCGTCGCTGAAGAGATGATTCTCGGCAGAGGACGACGATGAGGAGGCCCGATAGCTCTGTAATTTGTCCAACGACATGGATGTGACGAGATTACGCAGACAGTTCCGATCCACCTTTCCTGAATGCGTTCGAGGCATGTGCAAAACAGGGAGGAAAATGGCGGGCACCATGAAATCAGGGACCGTTTGGCGTAGTCGGATCTCCACGGCGGCCACTCGCTCTGCGAATATGTCGCTAGGAGCTCTCAAGGTATGAGACTCGTTGGTTTTGCATTCGTCTTCTTGGTCAAATTCTTCCTGCCAAAGGACCATGGCCACGAGCTGAGATTTGGTGCTTCCGGCCGGCATAATCATCTCCGCCACGACATCGCGAGCAACGCCATCGAAGCACCGATGCACATGGACCTCGACCTCAGCCAGCTCTAACCGCTGTCCTCGTAATTTGACTTGGCGATCCTTGCGGCCGATGATAATCAGAGACCCATCTGTATTTGACCGAACCAAATCGCCGGTCTTGTAGAGACGGGGACAACTCGCCTGGGGCGGTCGCAGTGCCCGCAGCCAGGCCGGGGGCTCGATAAATGCCTGTGCGGTCCTTTCGGGCTGGTTGATATAACCACGGCCTACAATTGGACCTTCGATCAATAACTCACCAATGGCTCCTTGAGGAACCAGCTTTTCGTGGTCGTTGCTGTCGACCACCCACAGTACGCATCCTACGGGATGTCCAACATTGCGCGGGTCGCTCGTGGCGCAAATTGACGACTGGACGACAGCCAAGGCAGAGCACTCCGCAGGCCCATAGCCATTGATCAACCGCACATGAGGCGCCCAGGAAGAGACATCCGTCTCCGTCATACACTCGCCTGCCAGCATGATGGTATCGATCGTGGGCAGTTCCCCGGGACGAAAGAGACGGGCCACCGAGGGAACTAGCATGGCAAAGTTTGCTTTGAGAGTGCAGGCGACATCGCTGAAGCTATTTTTGCGCTGCTGGTCGGAGATCACGCAAATACAAGCCCCCGCCATGAGAACACTCAACTGTTCAAGGATACTCATATCGAATGCGTAGGAGGAGAATTGTGTCACTCGGGAGTGCCGGGTGAGCTTCCAGGCCGCGATATGATCTCGGGCATCCGTACAGTAAGAGCTATGATCGATGACAAGCCCCTTGGGTTTGCCTGTGGAGCCTGAAGTGAAGACCACATACAAGGCATGGTCGGGCTGCACAATGGGAAGCGCGATGCTGGTGGCGTCACCATCATACTGGCCTTCTACCTCCCAGGCACAGTGGTCCGGTCCCACGAGCACTACAGTGGATGCGAGCTCATTGCTGATGGAGCTGTGCGCCGATGAGGTGACCACAATTCGGGCCTGGACCTCAGCGCAGATCTCTTTTCTTCGCTGTTGGGGATACGAGGTATCGAGCAATAGCAATGTGCCACCAGCCTTTAATACCCCCAACATCGCTACAGGCGTCCAGCGGGACTTTTCCAAACAAATCGGAACCACCTCGTTAGGAGCCACGCCACCACAATTGACGGTGAGATGTTGCGCCAGACGTGACGAGAGTACATCCAGCTCTCGGTAAGTAAAAGATCCATCTGTGTCACATACGGCCTCACTATCCGGGTACTCGTTGCAGCGCTCGCGGATGATCTGATGGACGGAAGATTCCACACGAGCGGGC